CAGTCCTAAGTGCTGTGCCTACAAGGAGAGAGTTATTAATAGGATGGGGAGAGGGGAAGAAAACGTATGTGAAGGAGAAGGAAGGGAGGCGTCAGCAGTAGCCTGTTTTCGCTTACCCGCCCTGCTGTATGCAGCAAGTAAGGCGACCCGGCTGATGGCACCACGCGACGGCCGATGTGGCAGGAGTTTATTTGTGTATGTGCTATTCATGGTTGTACGTGGGCTGGGATACTGCCAGGGCGCCCACACCTGACAGGAGGACGATTAGGGTCCTCAACCAAAGCCTTTGGTTCAAAAGCCTAACCGCAAGGCAGCGGTGTTTGGCGGGAAATGCAAATGCATTACCATTTCTACGGAACAAGTCGCCACATGTTCCAACCCCGCAACCTGGAGGGCCAGGAGACTGTGCTCGTCAGACCTCTAACCATTGACCAACCTGGTATGAGACTCTGTGAGTGTCGCGGGACACTCTCCAGTATAGCTCAATGGATCGCTGAGGTACGTAAACCGTCACACCACGGTAAGGTCCAGTCTCTTCGTGACGGCTCATTTCAATGGACTGATAAACCCTGTGTCGAAATTACTCAGACTAATAGACCTGGGCTGCTCGGTCGACGTTGGTTATTTATTTAGCGATCTTCCTTCCTCACAGTCTACTCTAGACAGCAAGCTGGAAATGATCCCTTGTTTCAAAGTGCCTTTTCGCCCCTTACCTGTCTGAGAATTTTTCTAACCCCTGACCGTCCTTTGACCGTATGCGCGAGCAACTCTGTGAACTGTCGTGCTCTATGGCTCGGAACATTGGTTTTTCTGATCCTGAAGCCTTAAATGGTTTCAAATATTTGGTCTTCTTTTCCTTCGCGGCGTAGTAGGCGTTAGCAGGCTGGATAGTACTCGCAAATGGATGTTGCTCAAAGAAGCACATAGTGATGGGTCAGAAAGACCACAGCAGCACATAAAGCTCGTCAGTTCAAGGTTGATTTGGACGCTTACTAGGAATTCATAGCCAAAGGAAGCACTATTTTTTCCTCATTCTTCTTGGTGAAAGTCGGAGTGAAAGTGACTACTGTCAAACTGAGCGTTTTAGGGTTTTCATGCCGTCCTGGCCGTATCCCTTGCGCGTGGTCGATAACCCTACAAGACATGGCACGCAACGGATCTCAGTGTCCATTGAGATGGCTCAGTGGTTAGAGCGCGAATTTACTGACCGGAAGGTTCGTGGTTTGAACCCGATTTCCGCATCTCGACTTCTCTTGTCTAGGCTACGGCAACCTGGTGGTATCCCAGCCCTCGTGCTAAAGTTGTGCGCCGGGCTTTTTGGATGTGGTCCATAGACGAGTCACTTCAACTGGTGACTTCTCACTCAGTGGGTTTGCGGATTCGTACTCCAGGGCGTAGGCATGTCATTCTTGGTAGTTTCATCTAAGAACGTAAAGATGTTTGTACTTAGTCTTCACTCATTCTCTTTCCATCCTTTACTAAGGTACCCATGAGTTGTATGGCTGATATGCACCAGCAGATGATGCCGATGATGAGTTCCTGTCTAGTTCGGTGTTAACAGCTTCCACGCAGCTTGTGTTGAGACACCGTATCCAAACATGGTGCGCACTCGAGTTCTTAAGACGGTTGTAATTCCGTTCGATGGATGTGGCTTTTCCTTGCAGCCCACATCCAAAATATCTCATTAGGATCGCCAGGCGTAGATATTTCGGGCAGCTAACAGTTGAGTCTGGATATCATCAGGCAGTTGTTGTGTGGCTATGTTGAAAAGCATTTCTAGAGGTTGATCTCTAACACGCATGTAGCCCTGAATTTCCACCACAAGAATTTTACTCAACATTGAGTCACGACTGTCCGCAACTGAGCCTAGGGGCTTGGTTGTATAGTGTAGAGCTTTTTTCAAAGGGTGGCCTTACAGCATGTAGGTTTGCGTGACATACTGCTTGGTGGTAGTGAGAAAATGCCACAATGAATGAGTCGTTTTTTTGCCATGGCTACCAGTAGTTATAAGACAAATTTTTAACCGCGCGAACACTCGTAAACGGTGGAATAGCAATGCGGAACCTTGGATGTACCAACAATGGCACAGATCGACGTCCATGTGGCCTCAAATAAACAGGCTCCTTGACAAAACAGTCTAAGTGGTCGCAGCTGAACTCACCGCGACAGCTGAGCGAGTAAAACAGTTTTCCGGTTACCATATGCTGATGTAGTGAGTATATGACCCATTCTGATCTTCGTTGTTCTGAATTTGCTGTTCAGTCCGATATCCCTACTACGTAGGAAGTATTCGTTTTGTTATTTATTTCACCTAATCTCCACTTCTGTTCTCCGTCATTTGCCCCCTTCAGCATGGGTATTTATATACTGTTTTGTTATGAGTGACACAGCGGAGAATACCGAGGAAGATGGTCCGAAGTATAAATTATCCAGCTTTTTGTTTGGTAATGTTGACAAACAAGGCCAAATCGAAGAGTACACCAACGATGAGGACCTCAAATCTATCAACAACATTGATCAATGTCACGTCAAAGAAGTTGAGGAGACGGCACAGGTTGTACTTTCCTCAGAGCCGTCTTTGGTTGAGGATGCACAGGACCAGACGACATCCATAAACACTATACCTTCTCCCGTAGACTACTATGATGAACAGGAGACCGTGCCGGATTACGTTTTTGAGTCGAGCTTTCGTGAACTGAAGCCAGAGGAGAATCTTTTGCCTTCACACGCCCAGGCTGCAGAGGTAGGTTATGAATGTACTTTCACCATAGTATTTGGATCAATTGACCAATTTCAATTAGATTATACTACGAAACCCTTAGCTACGGGTGCATTCGGCCCCCATGACCGGAACCTTTGCCTCCTACTATTGTCTGTGCTGTATCCATGAGATCTAACATTGGGTGTGCATCTCCATATGCTTATCAGCTGGGATCATTTTAACATTTTCCTCTATATTTACTGGTGACGTATAGTACAATGTTCTAATGTACTTTCAGTTATTAGCGCTAACCATGGTAGCTTTGCCTAATCGTTCAGCTGCAGCACACTTCCGGTGCCTAACTGCCATGCCACCCGAAGGTTGCACGAGGGCTGGGATACTGTCAGGTTGCCCAAGCCTAGACAGGGGAACTCGAGAGGCGGAGGGCGGGTTCGAACCACGAACCTTCCGATCAGTAATTTCGCGCTCTAACCACTTCGGCCGTCTCCCCGAATGGATGGCGTTTTAGATTAAGGGATGGCCACAACTTCAGAGGTATGATTCTTGAAGGATTCACAACAGTCCGTCTGACAGCTACTCAGCCGAGCTGTACGTTTCCTCCCGGATCATTAACCAGAAATGTGATAGCTAACCAAAGTCTTCTCTCCATCCATTTGAACGTAAAAAGAAGTACTCTGGCATGGTGTTTGCACGCTGTGTCATCCATTTCTTTGTGTCCTCTTGTTTTTATGCATTGTCATAGGAGGACTACGACTCACCTGAAGCAGGACCAACAAAGTCTTCAGACGAAGTGAAGCACGAAGCTGGTACTGTAGAACCCCAGGGGGTGGTTGAAACCCTCTTGGATGCATCTCTAGTTGGTTCTGAAGAGGATGTCAAAACTGACGCTGTACCTTCTATGGCATCGAGTTCGCAACCGGATACAGTGACGTCGCAAAATTTAGATGCAGGAAACGTAATTCAGGGTTCTTCGTCTATCTCCTTGAACACGGGAGCCCAGAGTCTAGCCACTGAAAGTGATATTGATATGATGCCTCCGCCCTTACATCCAGCACCTATTGCGGCGTCCCGCCAGTTTCAAGGAAAGGTAAGTAATACCACAAGCATTTTGAATTTTTTGTTTATGCACTGCCTCACCACTTTGACGGGTTTGTACTTCCTACCGCCCGATTTCTGTGACCAGATAAGGAGCAGCATGCATTTCTAGGTTTTATTTTACTCTCGCGTCTCGGTGACTCTATCAATTATTTTCTGCTATCCACCCCTCCCTTTGCTCCTCAGGCTTCCAAAGGCACTGCAGAATCCCCCAATCATTTAGGC